TATTACAAGAGTGACTGGTCACTCTTCATGTAACTTGGGTACACTGGGGTTTGTACCCCGTTACAGATAGCATCGGGACACGAAAGCGCTATTGGTAAGAACGTTGACCGTTCACCGATCAAATCGTGAAAAGGGTAAACAGATTTTGGAGTCTCCCATACACGTCCAACAAATCTACGACAATCTATAATTGTCAATGAGGTACGATATGGTGGAAGTACTGCGCTGCAACTCCGTTGGCGATCCGAATTCCAACTGCTGAGCTCTTCTCCAATACCAAATACGGTCCGGCTGTTGATCCGGTGCGCAATCGTCAGCATCGTGCAGTCTCGAAGCTCTTCTCGGATACTCTGCTGGATCTGGTGAATCGACAATGACGATTTTTCTCGAGGTCCCCTGATTCAGAGACCTCATCCATCAGAAGCCATTCGAACGCTTCAGTAGCGCACGAGCAATTGACACGAGCTGACAATCACCGAGCCCTTCTGGTCCACGAAATCATATAGCGAGGTGATGGCCTTCTACAGCGACGCATTACAGACGTTCTGGTCGTCCAAGAACTGGCCGAACGGGACCAAAGATGAACGCACCAAGACCAAGAACAGAACGAGGTTATAGCGATGTTGATACGCAGCCCGATCTTGCGATATCCGCACTGTCAATCGTGGTGGAGCCCGCGTCCGGCTGAACGAGATGCACGAAACCCACATTCAAGCAGCTCAGCATCCGTAGGACTGGCAATTCCGATCTTCTCCTTCCTGTTCACACTGAACGCGAGTCCACGAAGCACACGCGGCACACCAGGGCGGTATCGGAGATCAACGCGGTTGAAGCTACGGCTAAATGGGCTCCAGCCGTCGGCTAGTCGAACGACGTCTTCTCAGCTGCAGTGCTAGTCATGACATCCTCGAAATTTCAAAGCTTTTTCGTGAGCAGCACGACGTAGGCATGCGCCATTGCTCAGTTAGAGAGATGACAAGCCTGTGGAGCGGCGCCGGCGTGCTACTATGGAAGATCTGGCGCGTGAAGAAGCACGAGAGCCGCTTGAACCGCGGGCGGCTCGGCAAACGCTGGCTGTAGCCGGCGCTCGTTACGGCCATCCCGCTGGAGCTTATTCTGCTGCTTATCCAGACAATGTGCGATTACAACGCGCACTTGGAAACGTCCTTACATCCGCTTGGGCTGGATCCATCAGTAAGACAGTGGAAAGAAGATATGCTACGAATATTTTACTTTAGATCTTGAATGCTTTGGGTTTTGTATGGTGGTGAGAATATCGCTTGTTTGCATAGGTTTCGTTCACGAACTGCCCCACCCCAAACCAGCGTTATTACTGGTCATAATTCGACATACAACAGCATTGCTGCCGTAGCCAATCCGTTGTATCAGTAGGCAAAAACCACGCTCCTGGAGCCATGCCTGACGGCGCTGATGTTGGTGGTTTCGTTTACCTCAAGAAAAATTGTGACACAGGGGGTTGACACTAAGTACGGACACTAAGGATGCTCAAGCAAAAGACAGAGTAGATGGAGATCTACTAGCCACCACATTACTACATCTCACGCCGTCCAAGACTGCTAACAACGCCTATCTGTAGTGCTGCCTTAGACCTTGTATGTCTTTAAGGTTATGTATTTCAGGAAACGCTAGCTTGTGGGGAGGGCGCGCGAATTGAGACGTGCCACCCCGCAGTTCAGACGGATGGAACCTTCTATAAGGTTCCACGGCCTCCCTACATCTGCCTTTCGGTATTGCATACCGAATCTAAGTTTAAATGAGCCTACCTCTGATTGGCTACAACTCTACACCTATCACATCTGATACACTCACCCTCCCTCTGGCGTGGGCGTCCCCTCAGTCTTGTCATTCCCGAAATTACGCTATAGGCCAGAGGTGCCGTTCCCCGTCGGATTAGTCCGACCCCGAGTTACCCACGCCTGCCTTGTGCGGGCCTGTTTACATGGGGCTTGGA